GCTAAATTTAACAAATTAAGTAGCATTCTAGACTGAATAACTACCCTTTAAATTTCATTCTAATAAACCATGTAGATACTTTGAATCTGCACAGATAGCAATCACTGTCACAGATGTGAAGACTTGGAGTATCTAGACAAAACTGTTTTTGTCTTGCCTTTGAGATTATTACCCCTTCTTCAGAGAAGATAGTACAAATGCAAGATATGTCACATGAAGATATTATGCAAGCCAATCTACATCAATAGTCAAATCCAACATGAATCTTGGCAGCCAAAGATGGCAGCTTGTGGCCTTCTGGAAGTTAGTGTGGTCAGCATAGGCAATGCTGAATTTTACCAATTCAACAGCATCTAGAAGATGTCAGATTTCTCGATTCTGATCTATATGATATAGCCATCTTCACTAAGAGAAGCTTAACTGTTAATTATTCTTTGCTTTTTGGTAACCTCTATTCTAATTTTCATATACTAAAAGCAAGTATATCTGGTGTTTTCTTTATGTTTATATAAAACTGTAGTAGCAAATTTACCTAATTATACTGCATTAATTGCATTAATCTGCACAGCATTTTCAGGGTTGCAATCCAAAAGAATCTTCTGATGTCATCTATTAAGAGTTATTACTTGACTTCTGAGTAAATACCTTCATGATTAAAAATGTCTCTCCACTAAATTGTTATTATGGACAAAATCAGATGCTGCTACTACAATAAAAGTATTATAAGATAAAAGCCAGAACATTCATCTCAATAATTTAAAAGGTCACAACTTTTAAGACAATACATTCTGAACACAAACGAAATATTCTACCTCATCAGAAGCAAAATACGGTGCAAATCTGCTTTTTCTAAGTAAGAAATCAAGGCGCTACAATGATCTATACTTTGAGTGCTCTCCAGCCCAACGTTTCTGGATGATAGTGATACCTAATAGGGCCTTTGATACTTGTCAGAAATTTAATCACAACCATATGGCACCTCACCTCAGTAAATTCCATCATTTTCCCATACTATGAACTATTACTATCCATTGTTTAGCTAAAGTAATAGAAAAAACATATGAAAGTGTGTGTGTGTGTGTGTTTCCAGGATTTCTAATTTCATAGCTTGAGGGAAAAAATCCATATTTTCAAAAGCTTTGTATCACTAATGCTTACCAATACGTCCATGGCCATGACTGACATGCCCCCTTAGTTTCCTTGTCTTCCTCAGTCTGGAAGGCTAAAAATATAACAACAAATTTGATTATAATAAAGGCACTCTATTTTTTTCCTTTACTTCACCCATCTCTGCAGGTTTTCTATAATCTCTACTTTATACAAAGAAACTTTTCTTTTTTTGCATTTTGTCTACTTCACTGATTTAGGTTTTGTTTTTTTTAAAAGATGTATAGAGGAAAAACCAGAGAGAAGTTGTTTTAGTGGTGGCAGAGTCTCAGATCACTTTCTTTCAGGGAAGAGTAGGCTTCAATCAAACCCAACAAATAATTAAGCCCAAACCCAACAAAATTAAAACTAGGCCGGGTGGACGTCCTCCCATCCTTCTCCGAAAATCTATGTCGAAATCAATTCCATCTTTCCATCTGAAAAATAACAAAAAATAACAGTCCTAACAAAAAAGTTTTACCTATTTTAATTACTGATGAATGAAAAGCAAAGGCGAGGAGGAGATTTAAGAGGTGGGGTAAATGTCTATGGCAGGGGTAGGCAACCTTGGCTCTTTTATGACTCGTGGACTTCAACTCCCAGAATTCCTGAGCCAGCTATGCTGGCTCAGGAATTCTGGGAGTTGAAGTCCACGAGTCATAAAAGAGCCAAGGTTGCCTACCCCTGGTCTATGGAGATTCTCATGATTGTCCCAAAGGTGCTTTTTTCAAGCGGCCACTAGACTTTGTTTTTCAGAGCTGAAAAAGCTTCTTCAATGAGAAGCGAAACGTCTTCAAAGAAAAACAAGAGAGTGCAGTTGCCTCTTGAAAAAGCACCTTTGGGACAAGAGGTGGGGTATTAGGTATTTATTTTGACTGCTTTGGTGAAAGGGTATAAAATCTTTCAATGCATATCGTATCAGGGCTAATCAATCAATTAATAAATAAATCATAAATAAACAAACCATAATCTTCTGGTTTCCAGCCTGGTGCCTTAAATACCGCTTCAAACAGTCCCTGGAGCACAGCCCTCCCCCGGGGAAGCTAGCAGAGGCGTCTCCCGCCCTCGGGGCAACCTCTCCTCGGAATATGGAGAGACATACAGCCAAAGGCTGGGCAGCCCCGGCAAGAGCAGCAAGAGAAACCGGCGCGGCCTCTCTCTCCCCCCCCCCCATCCCCAAAAGGGGCCAGAAGCCCCCGAGCCCGAGACTAACCACGTTGCTCCCGACCTACCATCTTGCTTGATCGGCGACAAAAAGAACGAAAGAAGTTGGAAGCAACGTCTCGCGAGATTTCGCGTCCCCTCCCGGAAAAGTTCTTTTCTCGCGATCTCGTGAGAAACGTACGGAAAGTAGAGAGACCTCTCTCTCTCTCTCTCTCTCAAATGCTCCCGTTTCCGCTTCCGATATCTCCGAAGTGGGGCCTCTCTCTCTCTCTCTCTCAAATGCTCCCGTTTCCGATATCTCCGACGTGGGGCTTCTTTAGATTTTGGTAGAAATTTGAAAGAATAGGACTGTGTTAGAAAATTTCTTTTCTTTCGTTTCGCTTACTAATAACCCTATCCCGTTTTCCTACCTGGATTGTTCGAAATAGGTTTTCATGGTGGGTTTTGGTTGTTGGCTGCCTAAATAAAACACTAACGGTGGACGGAAGAAAACTCTTGTTAAATTTAAAAAACGAGGCTAAAAGTTAGCATTGGGCGTGATTTTAATTTGTTTCATTTATAAATAAGCGCTTCAAGGAATATGCTCTGTAAAAGCTCTGTCTTGTTTTTGTCTCAACCCAAGAAATGCGATCCGCTCCTCAAAGGCTGCCTCCCTAAAGTAATCCGCCGCAGGCGGACATTTCACAGGTATAGCCCCTAATGCAGGGCTCTCCAAACTTGGCAACTTTTAAGACATGTGGACTTCAACTCCCAGAATTCCCCAACCAGCATGGCTGGCTGAGGAATTCTGGGAGTTGAAGTCTACAAGTCTTAAAAGTTGCCAAGTTTGGAGAGTCCTACCCCAATGTAACCCTTATTACTCTTCCATAACGGGGAGTACTGAATTTCTGGCCCTGATGCAGCCTTTAAGAGGACAGGAATGTGGATTCCTCAGAAAGACTTCATCCATAGTCCGATTTCTCTTAAGAGACAGCAATTCTGCATTAAACAAAGCTTCTAATCCTGCCTGTTGTGTGGATTTTTATATCAAAATTAAATCATTTTCTTCAAAAGAGTGTAAAACAGCAAAAATACAAGAATTTAAATCAACTGAGTTCTCGCTATGCCCCATTTCTGCTTCTGTCCATGTGTGTGAGATTAATGCTACTTGCAGGCAGGGGATATGGTTCTTGTGTTAAGACAGGCTCCCATAAATGAATTGCATAACTGAACATGAAATTAATTATTTCATTGCTTGGTAAATGAAGAATGACTTGATGGCACATATAGTTGGACAAGAAATACGCATGCTGATTATTGTGCAGGTAAATACATATGGCAAGTACTAGTTAACGTTAACTCATTGGAGCTTGCAGAGACCAATCAAAGAGCAAAATTCAGAGCAGGTTTTGACAGTGCTCCCATCCTTCCTGTAGAGCAGGGGTCCTCAACCTTGGCAACTTTAAGACTTGTGGACTTCGACTCCCAGAAAAATAAAGCTGGCTGAGGAATTCTGGGAGTTGAAGTCCACAAGTCTTAAAGTTGCCAAGGGTGAGGACCCCTGCTGTAGAGGACTTTAATATGATTCGCATTTCTCTACAGAATTGTTTCTAAATCTTGACAATTTTAAAATGCATGGGCTTCAACTCTCCGAATTTCCCTGTTGCCAAAATACAATTTGAATTATTTGTACATTTGTTTTTCTTACATAGTGCTGAACCCTTAAAGAAGCAGAACTAGAGGCATTGAGCATTAGAGAGAAAACAAGCAACAGTCTACACTTGCTAGGTTTCTGCCTAGCATTAGATCAAACATTGTTGAGGTTACAACTCCTCAAAAGCACAGTAGAACTTGCTTCTGATGAAATGGATATGTAAATGGGGATATCTGGCCTTGGCTGTTGCTCTTGTGCAAGTTTAGCAAACTCAAAGGCTAGCTTTACTGTTCTAAACAGGGAGAGTTGACTTATCACATGACAAAGTAAATATAAACATTTGCCTAAAAGACTATTCCAATTTAAATATGCACTCTATCGGAACGCTGATAGTGGCATCACCAAGGGAGCTTATCTGTGCCAAGTCTTGTAAGTAAACAGAATTATCAAATTGCTGGGGTTCAGAAGATTCATGCTGCATTCGTATGTAGTTCCAATAGCCTTCTCTCCTCCCTCTCCCACATATTTAGTTTTCAAAAGTATAGAACTTCAGCCACTGATTTAACAAAGTGGAACTGTCTTTGCTGGATTCCAGAGATGTGTATTTAAGACATGTTTAAAAGGAACATAGAAGAATGTAGATATATGTCAAGACCAACAAAGACTGGTAATAATACTGCCCTTTTTAGGGCATTGTTTTGCTTTAGAGCAGTGGTTCTCAACCTTTTTAATGCCGCAACCCCAACCGGTCGTAAGTCGAGGACTAAACCGGTCGTAAGTCGAGGACTAAACCAGTCGTAAGTTGAGGACTACCCAACCGGTCGTAAGTCGAGGACTTTCCCTGCCCGGGAGCACCGTGCATGCGTGGTTCCGCCCCCTGCGCCGGCCGAGGCGTAGCTGGCAAGCGGCAGAGACAGAGCAGGCTGACCACCAGCTGGCCCAGCTCAAGGGAGGTAAGGCACCTGCCGGAAAAGGGGAAAAAAATGGCGGACAAAAAAAATGGCGGACAGCCTTGCTTGGCAACCCCCATGAAATGGTCGATCGACCCCAAATGGGGTCCCGACCCACAGGTTGAGAACCACTGCTTTAGAGCACGGGTGTCAAACGACCAGCCCATGAGCTGGTTATATCATATGGAGGCCGCTCACCTCAGCTCCAGTAATGCAAAAAAAAGTCACAATATGTCACAACACATCACATGACACAGCAAGTTTGACACCTGTGTTTTAGAGGATATTATACCTCATTTGAAAATATAGAATGCATTTTAACTAGAGCAGGTCTTAGGATTTTGTTTCCTAAAGCCATCTAAGCTCACGGTTGATACTGGATCCTGATCTACAATAAGCATTTATTTCTCACATTTATATCATTTGTATCACAAAATTATTCAGATAAGATAAACTGACACGGTTTTAATATCTTAGTGATAGAAGACTATTCAGCTGGTGCAAATGTAGCATATTATTAGTGGAGGAATGCAATTTTTGTCTACTGGTTGGCTTCTGGTGCTGGCCATTATTTATAAAGCTTATAAATGGCATGCCGCTGGTATATATCAGGAACTACTTTATCAAGTGGGACTCTACCCATCACCCAGTTTGAACACTGCATGAAAAATGGTTAGACTCAGCTTTCTTTATAGAGAACCCTGCATTGCAGAAGTTGCTGCTTCTGGATACATCTTTGACCCTGACTCTCTCTGAATTTCTGAAGACCTTACAGGGTGAGTGTGGATAGCAATCTGATTTAGTCTTGATATTTATTGTTTTTATTGTTGAGGCTGGTTACATTCTTATTTCCTTGTAGTATTCTAAGACATAGTTTTTGTGATTGCGGCAATTTATAAATATTGTGAATAAAGATGCCAGTGATGTAAATTTAGATTTAACAGAGATATGGGTGTTGCAGGCATTCTCTCTTCCCTAATAGTTTGGTATATTATGATTTTACTATACATCCATGTATTATGCAATTTCTCTGGCTAGAATCCACTGGAAATAGGACCATGATGTGATCCAGAATGTTACTCTTCTGAGATAGGATCCATTTTGCATTACATTTTGCAGCTCCTGAGAACGGCTTGTGGCAGGAGCAGCAATAGTAGCAAATTTCATTTTACAAGTGGAAATATGCTTGTGATTCATAGGAGCAACTTGCATAACCTATTGTTTGTGTTATTTTGCCATGACATAGAGAGCAAATTATAATATTTTCAGAATATGGATAATTCAAAGCAAAGGCTTTTTGAGTTCAGCAGGATTTGCTTGAGGTATAGGACAGGGGTGTAGGTTGTTAGGTATGTATTTATTAACTTTATATACTGCTGATCTTACTGTCAAAGCAACTCTGTGCGGCTTTATAGTCCAAACTTGATTTACAGTGCAAACTTGCATATATCTAAACAATAAAAAGTCCATGAAGTTAAACAAAATAATCCTTTAGTAACCTGGAGTTTTAGTCTAAGTAAATCTATTTACTGACTTAGTGAATACATTTTAGAAGCACATTATTTAAATAGCCAGAATTTGAGAAGTTTTCTGATTATGGAAGTCTGACACAAGTATTTACACAATTTATTAGAAATAAAACATACACTAGAAAAGGATGCAATGTATCTAGCCATTTGCTGCCAAGGTGTTGAAAGGCCAGAGATTTCTTCATGTTTAGCAATTATAGTGCAGAATTCTTTGCAATTTACTGACCATCATTCAAAATAAAACAGATTGTTTGGGATTGTGAGTCAAGTACCTTATTGCAGAACAAAAGGATATTTTTGATGAAAAAATGAATTAGAAGAAAAGCTGAAGAAAAATATAAACTCTGTCATATAAAAATCAGTCCTCTTTCCATTCTCCCACCCCTGAATTCACCCACTGGTGTTCGTTTACTTCCATAGCACAGCCCTAACAAACATCCTTCAGAGTCAGTGGTTCTGCTGAGACAGTCAGCTGCACATAATTCACCATTCAGTTTGCACTAAGCATAACCCAGTCCCTAATTAAGAAAAAATGCACCTGTTGTTTTTCAGGAATATACAAACATTACCACAGTTGTCTGTGCTCATTACAAAAATCATTGTTAAAGCTTACAGCACAGCATACTATTTACAAATCTCTACCAAATACATTATTTTTGCTGGCACACTGTTAAAATTCAATTTGCAGTCACTTAAACATGTGAGCAGCTCATTCTGTGCCCTCCAGCACTAGCATCGGAAAAGCTGCAGGTGGTGTTCTGTGCCCAGTGTCATAAATAGTCTTTTGATCCACATCTCACTGGAAAGGAATTAATTCTTCTTATGAAGAAACTTCATTTTATTTCCTGCAACGACAAAAATTGAAAAGCCTCCCAGTTATTATATACATTTAAAATCAAACACTACAGTTCCCAATTGGCACTCAGAATCTAGCTGGTTAGTAAAAAGTAGATACTCCAATTTACGGATTCTTGTCTGTATAATTTAGATTATATAATTTGTTCTTAATTAAGAGCTTTTCTTTTAAACCCACCAATGTGGTACACCAAGGAAGCCTCTAAAGCAGAACAGTCT